CCCACTTTGGTTCCTTTTCCTTGTTTGGATGTGGGATTATAAGCATCAGTTATTTGTTAGAGTGTCATTTAAATTTTACTTATATATAACTGTATATGTATACAAGTATAAAAGTTAGTTCATTAAGTTCAATTACCCTTTGTAACATGTTGAGCAAGGGGTTGCATTCATGAATAATCAGTATCAATTCAGAAAGTACATATAAATTATAATAGGTATAATTTATGATTCATAGAACATTAATTCACAATTCAAGCATACTAAAGTACAATGTTTTACAAGAACAAAGGTTTGATTCAAAACTATTTAAGGGTATACATCTTTCAGATACATGTTAAGAATACTAATTCAAGAACATACTATCAATCATTTATTTCAGAATGATTGGGTTTTCATAACTATTATACATGTAAAATTTATATGCTTTTTATGAGTCAATTGATACAGGTTGTTTAATTCATTTAAACAATATAGTTAAAGTCCTAACATTATAACCAGAATCTCCAGCCGGGGATCGAAACAATGTGTGTATAGATCTATATTGGGATTGACAACCCCGCACACAGACTGCTAGCTACGGTCAGGCATACACGCCTGTGAGTGACAATTGTTATCAACAGTTTTCAGCGCATTCATAGCGTTGGATCAGGCCATCTAGTCAGTATGGTTATAATAACTCATATAAAAGATATTAACAATACGTTAGTGTATAATTAACTAAACTTAAGTACATTTTCAAAGTACTAGTTTACCAGATACAGTTTACAATATTACACTATAGTTTACAATAACAGTTGATGAAACCAGGCACACTGTCAGATACAAGTTTACAAAAGGAATACAAATACAGAACATTGGTTTACAAACAGAACGGTTTTATGTAACTAAAACTACTTTTCATATACAGCAGAAAATATAGGATTTTCTGGAACAGATTACATATTCAAGAAACAGAAAACATTCTTTCAAACATAAATACTTATGCACTCACTCAACTTTATGTTGATACTCTCGTTTCAAATTACTTGTATTCTCAGGGAACCAGTAGACAGCTACTCCCCGAGCTTTTGAGAAGATGGAGCTATTTATGTCTTGTCTTCTTCTTTTGAATAACTATTTGGTTTCAATATACAATGATGAAACACATGTAAATACTTATACTTTTTAAATACAGTGGTTTTTGTACTCTGATTACTATAATGCATGTGTTGTAATACTACAAATGAAGTCCTCCACCCCCCGGACGTTTCCGTCGTCTGGTTTGGGGGTGTGACGGTGATCCGCTTCAAGAAGAGGGGGAAATTGGGTCCCCGATACATTGGACCGTTTCGGGTCATTGCCAGGGTTGGCAATGTGGCATATAGACTCGAGCTACCAGAAGAGCTTAGTCAAATCCACAGTACTTTCCACGTTTCACAGCTGTGGAAGTGTGTTCTAGACGAGGAAGCGGTAGTGTCATTAGATGATATTTAGGTCGATGAGCGTCTGAATTACGTAGAGAGGCGGTAGCCGTTCTGGAGAGGAAAGTGAAGGTTTTGCGGAACAAGGAAGTGCCTTTGGTAAAGGTACAATGGGAGCACCGGAGGGGATTTGAATGGACTTGGGAGCCGGAGGCTGAGATGCGATAGCATTATCCGGAGTTGTTCACCGCAGCAGACTTCGAAGACGAAGTCTAGTTAAAATGGGGGAGAATTGTAACAACCCGACTCTCATGTATAAACTTTTCAGTCTTGTATTTCCAATTTGAAAGGCCGACTCGACGAGTTGGATTCCCTGACTCGTCGAGTAGGCACGGTTTTGGTCGCGTGTTTTAAGTGACCAACTCGACGAGTTGGAGGACCGAATCGACGAGTTGGAGTTGGAGGATGAAACCCTAATTTTCTGGGTTTTGCACCCTATTTAAAGGATCCTTAGCCTCCCTTACAACCCCATTTGAGCCCAAAAACCCTAAATCGCGTTTTCTCTCCATATTTGTGTGTTTTAAGCTTGGAAGGTGGATCTTGGTGAAAGGATCTTGAAGATCAAGAAGCTTTGAGCAAGGACAGTTGAGGATCTGACTCTTCTGCTTATTGGCATCATTTTGAAGGTAACAAGTCGTTACCTTGACTTTCCTCATTCTAGATCTCTTCATGTTTTAGATTAGGGCCTTTCTAGCATATATGTGAACCATTTTCGGGTATGGGCTAGGATTTGAAGTTGCAACTTCAGATCTGAACTTATCTTGGTCTCTACAATTATAAAGTTTCCAGCTTTAGAAGGTATGAGCTATTCCCTTTGAGTTAAACCCCATTGTAAGCTTGGATTTAGTATTCTAAGCCTTTAGAGCCTTGCATACACGTAAAGTTTGCAACTTTATGTGATAAGCATGCCTTAGGAAGCTAGATCTACCATTTGGAGCTTTGGAATGGCTCAAAATCATCTGGACAAGAAATGGACTGTATGAACTCGACGAGTTGGGAAGGGTTTTCCCGTTGTTTGGTTTCTGCATGGACTCGACGAGTCAGCAAAGGACTCGACGAGTCAGTTAGGGTTTTCCCCGACTTCAGAACACGCATAGACTCGACGAGTTGGTTGTAAACTCGGCGAGTCAGTGATGGTTTTATGACCTTCTGAACCCTTAAGGAACTCGACGAGTTTCTAGCTGCAGTCGACGAGTTGGGTCAACATGGACTGTTGACTTTGACCATTGACTTTGACATGGACCAAGGGTTGACCAGTTTGACCTCTAGGGGTATTTTGGTAATTTGGGAACTTATGGAAGGGAGTCACCGGTGGTTGTAGGTGTTGGATTGGGATCTGCATTTGGAGGAGTTTGACTATATCACTTTGAGCTACTTCCGAGGTGAGTTATCCTCAATATATCAACAGGGTCTACGGCACCAAGGCCGACCCTTTATGATTTGCATCCTGGTTTTAGGATGTTTGCTATGTTATTGATCTGTAATATTTCATCCTGGTTTTAGGATGGTTGTTATGCTAGTAATATGTTAGATTGATATCCTGGTTATATGATGGTTGCCATGTTAGAGATCGGTTAGATCGTCATCCTGGTTTTAGGATGGTTGATATGTTGTTGATCTGTTAGATTTCATCCTGGTTTTAGGATGATTGCTATGTTAAAGATCGGTTAGATCTATATGACTGTCTGTTATTTCATGCTAGCATATGATATTTATGTGCACCTGTTTGTTGGGATTGGGATTGGGTTGAGGCAGGTCCTGCTTTGTGCTGTAGGCCAAGACACCCAGGGCGGACCGGATAGACTGCAGACCCGGTTAAGGCATACTAGTCAGGCCGAAGGCCCGGCGAGCGGTTCGGATAGGCTGAAGGCCCTGAGAGGGCGGTCCAGACGTGCCGATGACTCGGAGAGCGGTCCAGATAGACTGATGGCCTGCGAGGCGTTCCAGTCAGACTGATGGCTCATTATGCATGTTATGTTTGTTATATGATATGGTTATATCTGTATGGTGTTGGTATTTTGGGGGAATTCACTAAGCTTCGGGCTTACAGTTGTTGATTTTATTTCAGGTACTTCTGACGATCGCGGGAAGGCGAAGGCATGATCGTACACCTCCTATGCTTTTATGATTGGTTCTGGGACACTCTGACATTAGATATTTTGAAAACAAGTTTTGTAATAATCAACAGATTTTGGAAATGTTTTAAAAGTTTAAATTTGACATAATTTTTATGGTTGTTATAATTATTATTATTATCACTTAGTATTATTTTGAATTATTTATTTATTGATTTAAAATTTAAAAGTTTTTTATTTTTTATAAAAGTTAACCTAACGGTAAGACGGATTTTGTTTAGACCACGGGGTATGTATGGGAAAAATCCTTCAATTTTTAGTGTCACATCAGCTTTCCCTCACTCTCATTTACCTCACCAAAAGACAGAAAATTGTCATCTTTCACTACTTTTCACTATATTTTATTTTTTTATTTTTTTTAAATATACATTTTAAACAAATATTATACATATTTTATAGGGAATTAAAAACCATAAATTTTGATATATTTTTTATGATTTTTTAGTAGGTATAAAATTAATAATTATTAAAAGAAAAAAAAACTAAGCAATCACATTGGGAGAGAGAGTGCGGGATACGCTCCCCTCACTCTTTCCCTGCACTCATCTTCCTTCACCCTCGGTATGATGTTCCAGGACGAGGGAAAACTTCCCTCACTCATTTCCTGCTCCATACCAACCAGCCTTAGAGATAAGTGGTTTGAATCCCGCATTCCATGTTTTTTGGTTTACTAATCTTATTTTACGCCATATGGTATTAGATATTTCAAATCTAACAGTCATATTTTTCTTTCTATCAATTGCTTTTTAGTTTTAATTGTTTGTTTTTACCTCTAAAGATCTAAATAATTCAAATTTAACAATGACATTACACATCTCAGTTTGTTTTTTAGTTTTAGTTATCTGACTTTTGTTCGTAAAAATATTTCACATTTTACCACTATACTTTCTCATCAATTTTATTTGGTAATAAATAATACATTCCCTTTTTATATATAAAACAACTCTGTATTAGATCTTACGATTTAACTTTTTAATTACCAATTATTAATACTATTGATGACGGTGAGTCTAACCGTCGTCCTCAAAATCTCAGCCGTCTAAACTCCACGTTCTTTCAATCTCGTCCGCATAAACTCGATTTTGGCGGTTTCTTGCAGTTTCGCTTCCTGGTTCTTCTCCCCCACGATTCCGTCTCTACCCACGTTGTACACAATTGGCTGTTGTTTCCTGAAGAAGCAATTGATTTGGAAACTGCATTCAAGTGTAGCACGCATCGAACTTTTGCCGTTAACCGCAAATTGGTTTTAATCAAGAACTGCACCACACAATTCCATGATTGCTAGAAATCAGGTGGTTTTCATTAACTGTCTTGCCTATATAAAGAGTTGAATTTCAATGTAATTGCTTCAATGATAGTTGTCGATTGACAATTGTTGGAATAAATATTTGCTTCTGTTGATCCAATGGCTTCTGATTCGTCTGACATACCTTCACTTAAGGTAAAAAATCATTTGTTTAATCGATTTCGATTCTTTGTATCTCATTGCATTTGTTTGTTTCAATTGGTAAAACTAATTGATTCGTTTGATTTAATGTTTTTGCCAATTCGTATATTCTTTCTTCTCGTAATGTTAGCTTATTATCTCCATTCCTTTGATATTTAGTCCATTGTATAATCAAGTTCGATATAAAATTGAAGGTAATGTCCATTAATGTTTCAAGTTTCGATTTCATATGTATTAACAATTGTGTTACGTTTACTTTTTATGTAGAACGTTGAAGTTGTTGTTGGAAAAGTGAATCCACCGAAAGATGTATCAAAATCGACAGTTGATCCTAATGATTCCAATTCGTCTGACATACCTTCACCTGAGGTAAACATTCAATTGTTTAATTGATTTTTGTTGTTTGTATTTCATTGGATTTGTTTGTTTAAATTGGTAAAAGTAATTGATTCCATACATTTATGTTTTTCAATTCGTTGGTTGTTTTTTCAGATAAGGTAAGCTTTTTTTGTCTCTGTAATCGTATTCTTTGATTGTTACTTAATTGTATTTTCAAGGTCGATGTATATTTGAAGTTAAGGTTCAACTATGTTTCATATTTCGATTGCTTATGTATTAACAATTGTGTTATGTTTAATTATTATGTAGAACTTTGAAGATGTTTGTGGAAAAGTCGATCCACTATCAGATGTATCACAATCGACATTTGATCCTAATGATTCCAGTTCGTCTGACATCTGTTCACCTAAGGTAAAAATTAACTTCTTCAATCGATTTCTATGGTTTGTACTTTATTGTTTGCAATTTGCCTATTATTTCATTGCCTATTATTTCTTCACACAAGGTGAACTTATTGTGTATGTAATAGATTGATTTGATTTGTAATTCATTGTGTATTCAATTTCGTTGAAGTTAAATTTCGTTTATTTCTCAAATTTGGATTTGATATATATTAGCAATTGTGTTCTTTGTAATTGTTTTGTAGAAATTTGGAGATTTTGATGGAAAAGTCAATCCACATTCAGATGTATCATAATCAACATGTCTCTCTGATTCTGATAGTGTTGAAATAATCGACTTTAGTGTTCACTTCAGTCCCTACAAATCCCAGTTGGAGAGGGTCATTTCGGAAGAGGTAAAGATTTTATTAGTTTTGTTTTCAGATAGATATGCATGTTAGTTTGTTTTTCTCTTTCAGATTTCTTTAATTGCCAAAGAAGAGGAGAAGCTGTCAAAAAAAGAAAAAAGGAAGTTGGCTTTGTTATGTTGGAAGTGGGAAGAAGTTGTAGATCTATGTGAAGATGAAGACTTGGGTGTAGATCTACCATTGATACCAGTGAAAAAGAAAGTGAAAGTTTCCATTCAATCTCGAAATCGAGTCATGAAACTTTTTGATGAATCAGATGTTGATGAGTGATTTAGAATTAACTTTGTGAAATTTTTTTTTGTTTTTTGTATTGTTCTTTTGGATTTGCTGCACTTAGTGGTTATTTGTTTTTTTGAATTAATGTTTATAAGTTTTTCAATTGTAGTTAATTGTTTTTAATGTTATTTCACTTTTATTGCTATCAATTAAGGTAACCCACTTTCATTATCAACTATCTTCAGCATTTTTTATTTCATTTAATACTGTTTATCCCTCGTGCATCATTTATGGTTTTGGACCAATTTACCCTTTCTACCCCCAATTTTGTATTGTATTTGTGATGGATAGTGTTGGTTTGCAAACAATAAAGAAAGTCAATTATGCAAATAATAGATTTTAATTGCTAATAGAGTTTATGTTAATGAAAATTCATATGAAAATTAATAAATGAAATCAAGTTCAAAACAGAAAAAGTCAAACCTATTATCAGGTTTGCAGTTCAGTTTTGATCGAAGGGCTGATCTTTGGAGGTGTATATGTGTTGATTAATATATGAAGTGTGCTTTCATTGAATAATTCGAGTCCTTGGAACTTGTGCTGAATGGTTTAGTTGTTGGACATACTGTTAACATGTTAATCTTCTAAATTTCCACATATACCCCTGAATAAGCTTTTTACCTCAAAATAGTTAAACACACTGAAAATGAAACCTTTTACCAATTATAAAGACGTTAAAGTTTATATAAATTATTTTGTCTATACTATGGAATTTGAAATATTTTTTAATTTGGGTTATCCATCAAAAAAAATTATGTTATTGTCTTATTTAAGCAATGTACTTTGCATGATAGCATCATACTTTATATATATATATATATATATATATATATATATATATATATATATATATATATATGTTTTTTGTTATTGTAACAGATTGGTAATTGGTTTTAATGATATTGGACCATTTTACCCCTCTTGCATTGTTAATGATTTTTAACCATTTTACCCCTGCTTGCATTATCCGTGTTTTATGTTAGAGGTTGTCTTGAGTTTTTGTTGTAAAAAACACAAATAATAAAAAAAGTAATTATGTTATATTTTCGTAATTAAGCATTATATTGTAAATTATAGCATCATACTTTACATTTTAATTCTTATTTACAATAAAAGAGTATTTTTTTTGTTATTGTAACATATTCGTTATTCGTTTTAATGATTTTGGACGATTTACCCCTCCTGCATCTTTTCTGATTTTGGACCATTTTACCCCTCCCCCATTTGTATTGAAATGATTATGGGTTGTCAAATAAAATATCAATAAGAAAAATAGCATAATTTTTTTAAAAAAATGATGCTTTATTTGAAAGTACGTTGGTTAAATAGTTAAATCTTTTAACTTTATTTACAATACATTTGTTGGAGATGGACAATTGTTTTATATATCTACTTTTCAATATTTCATCATTAAGAAGCACCACAATTACATCTTTCAGTTTGTCATGTGATCTTGAGACCTCTGGTGCACCATCTATGGCTGCCTCTGATGCGTACGGTTCGTTTATTGTACTTTGTGGTGTACATGGGTTGATATGGGTAAGGTCAGGGGCATTTAAGACATTTGAAGAACCTTTTGTGTTCTTTAAAGCTTTTAGAGATCTGAAGAGTTCGTTATCTTTGATTTCATTGGTTGTCTCCATTTCTTATATTTCTGTCTCACAACTATAAAAAGTTACATTATTTATTCAAAAATATTGGAAAATGAACAGGGTAGTTTTCGAATGGAGGCACCTTTAATTTTTCTAACTTCTGTTTGGTTTTTTCAAGCTTTTAAGTTTCTGTCGCATGCTTAAATGTGAGAGACACACCCTCCTTAGATAATGGTTATATGCAAGAAATAACAATGTTCTTTCATTGATTTGTTTATCATAGCATCCCACTTTCATTCTTCCTATTAAATCTTTTTACTTTGAAAATCTACCAATCATAGCAATGTCATTCAAATACAAATGAATTTTCATTAACATAATTAAGTAGACTTTTCAAAGAATGATGTCATAATAATAAATAGTTTAAACTACAATCAACCTGATTCCTATAGCCAATGTGATTTTTGCAGCCATGTTGATTCCACAATCAAGCTTCTATCAAATATTGTATACCTACTTTTGTTGTTACACTTTCCAACGACATTTTCCACAATATATTAAAAAGAATTCCACTTTATAAAAAGATAAATTGATGTAGAAAATGATACAAAATTGAAAGTTGCAAACCTGATAATAATCACCTGATTTACAGATGTGGTATGAATCGAAACCAGTTAGAATCCGTACAAATAAAATACTTGTAATCTTTTTATACGATTATAACGGATTCCTAATTCGTTTTACTTATTTTTGACCGTTTTACCCCTGCTGCATTATTTTTATTTTGGACCGTTTTGCCCTTAATTGCATTTTCACTTTTTTATGTTACATATCATTTTGATTTATTGCTGTAAAAAACACTAATAAGAAAAAAAAGCATGATTTTTTTTTTGAAAAAATGATGCGATATTTGAAAGTACACTGGTTAAATAGTTAAATCTTCTAACTTTATTTACAATACATATGTGGTATGAATCGAAACCAGTTAGTATCCGTACAATTAAAATACTTGTAATCTTTTTGTACGATTATAACGGATTCCTAATTCGTTTTAATTATTTTGGACCGTTTTACCCCTGCTGCATCATTTTATATTTTGGCCCCTTTTGCCCTTAATTGCATTTTCACTGTTTTAGCTTACATGCCATTTTTATTTATTGTTGTAAAAAGCACTAATAAGAAAAAAAAAGCATTATTTTTTTTTTTTGAAAAATGATGCTATATTTGAAAGTATAATGCTTAAATAGTTAAATCTTCTACCTTTATTTACGATACAGATGTGCTATGAATCGAAACCAGTTAGCATCCACACAATTAAAATACTTGTAATCCTTTTGTACGGTTATAACGGATTCCTAATTTGTTTTAATTATTTTGGACAGTTTTACCCCTGGTGCGTCATTTTTTATTTAGGACCGTTTTGCCCTTAATTGCATTTTTTGCTATTTTAGCTTACATGTCATTATGATTTATTGTTGTAAAAAATACTAATAATAAAAATAAAATCATTTAACCTATTTTATACCTACTAAATTCAGTTAAGTAGTTACAGAGGCTTAAAAATATAAGAGATTTTATGAGGGAAATTTAAATTAGACGTTTTGCTTTTTTCTTTTGTTTTTTATCTATTATTTGTTTATTTAAATATTATTTATATGAATAAAAAAATTGAGGGCAATAATGAAATTTGCAAGTTTATGTGATTGTAGTTTACGAAAACTTGGGATTAAAGTTGAGGGGTAGTGTCTGTAACCGTTTCTTCTTTAACCTGTTACATCGGATTTTGCTCTGCACATTTATTCTATAAGTTGCGATCACATGAATTATGTGCATTGTAGTACATCTCCCTATGTCCATAACTTCCTTCATTCTGCTTCAATTATTCGGGAAATCTGAAATTGGAATACATAAAAGGGTGATACAAGGTTTTAACTTCATATTAGCTATTACTTTGATTTTTTTTAATGTTTATTTATATGTTTGTAAGTTATTTATGCGACAAAAAGTATGACTTTTGTGAAATTGGATTAGTTAGGCCGTTTAACCATTGAAATATTGTATTCTGTTTTCGAAGTTTTTTTGTTATGTTTGTTGATTTTGTTGTTTTGTTTGTAAAGATAACGTTTTACATAAAACAAAATCGGATTATTTTGCCACATTTTGTTTGTTTTTGCGTAAAATTGTAGATGAATTTATGTTTTATTTTATTTTGATGTAAGTTGTTTGCTATACAGGTTATCTTTTTCTTTCTGATATCTGTCAAGACAAACAAACTCTTTTTTGGTGTGTAATTATCTGAAACAATATAACAACTTTCTTTGCTACAATCAAGAATGGATGATGCTGAAGGTTATGAAATCAATCGTCAAACAGAACTCCATACGAAGGTATCTTTTTCAATTATGTTTATGTCAATATGAAAATTGCATAAATTTTGAATCTTATTTTTGTTAATTTGTTGCGTCTTGTGCTCTTTGGTTCGATTTTTATCATATATGAATGTGAATATTATGTGACATTACTTTCTTTTTGGTTATAGACTCATTTTACATACATTACCGTTTAAGTCTGATGCTGTTACTTGACGTTTTGTTAATCTAACAACCCTAATGTTAAGTTCTCGACATTGGCAATTATTAAATAAATCTATAAATGGTGTGGGATGAAATGGGAGGAGTGTGGGCATAATGGTCATTCTACTTTCAATATACTACGATTGTACTTATAATGGTTATTTTTATACTTTCATCTACCTTTTTTTTATCATTCATATGTTATATGCATTTTAAATAATTATTTTTAGTTTATGTTTGTTCATTATATGATTATTTTAATTGTTTTACAGCTGGCATTATTGGAGACAGACATGTTTATTGAAATTCTTTCAAGAACATCATTAAAGACATTTCATATCATACGTTGTACAAGTAAACATCTTGAAAAACTAACATACAACAGCCATGTTCTTGATCTTTTCAAGCGGAAAAATAATGTGCTTCATGGAGTTATTGTTCAACAAAAGAAAGCTTGGGGACCGATAGAACGTAAGTTTATTTCGTCGTGTGGTTCGATTAATTTTGACATTGGTTGTATACCAAATTCGTGTACAATCTTAGCAACTTCGTGGAACGGACTCATTCTTGGTGAATGTGATTGTCCGGATGAATATCCAGAAAAGTTTTTATTTATTTGTAAACCGACGACATTAGATTGCAGAACATTACCATTTCCAATATATAAGTACATTGCGGTTAAGTTTGCTATGGTGGTTATGTGTTCGAACCCGTTGCAGTTCAAGATAATTCGTTTATCATATGAAGAGTCATCGTAAGTCGTTTTTACAATTATTATTTAAGTATTTATTTTATTTGGTTGTATAACTTTTATGTATCTTTCGTTGTA